TTCATATATATAACACAATCAGCACTGATTTCTAGTTACCTTAAGCCAAAGGGATAATGCGATCCAATGACTATTCCATAGGGTGGAACGCGAAGAAAAGGGCAACATTGCAATCACATCTTCAGAGGTTCTGGCTCTTCATTGTTGATATTATTATTCTTACCGTTGATGTGAATATAAGGGCTGTTTTGTTGACGCTCAATGAATGAGGAGGAGGATAGTAATAATGAAAATAATGATTATGATGATGATCCTCATAGTAACAATGATAGTAATGATAATGATAATCCTTATCATTATTATTATCATTATCCTTATTATAATCATTTCCAGTATCCTTATCATTATTATTATTATTAGTAGTAGTACTATTATTATTATTATTATTACTACTCTTATTATCATTATTATTATTATTATTATTATTACTACCCTTATTATCATTATTATTATTATTATTATTATTATTATTATTATTATTATTATTATTATTATTATTATTATTATTATTATTATTATTATCATTATTATTATCATTATTATTATCATTATGATCAATGTCACTATTATCGTTATCATTCCTATTAGTATTATTATTACTATTATTACCATCATTAATATTATCATTACCACTCGTAACTGGAGTAATATCAACACCATTACTGAAATAATCCCCATCACTATTGTCGACTTTGTAAATTAATTAATAAATAGACAAATATTTAAATAAAAGAAAGAAAAAATACATAAATAGACATACAACAGAGAGAAATAAATAGATATATAATAAATGAATAGTAAAAGAATAATGAACCAGATATATATTCAATGTCCCCTTTTTTCCCCCTCTTTTAGTTCTGGGAAATCATCAGCGACGAGCATGGCATCGACCCCATGGGCGTGTATCAGGGCACGAACCGAGACATCGAGGAACTGCAGCTGGAGAGAATTAACGTGTACTTTAACGAAGGCTCCGGGTACCACCACTACGTTCCTCGGGCTATTTTGGTTGACCTCGAACCTGGCACGATGGATTCCGTGAAAGCCGGTCCTTATGGACAACTCTTTAAGCCAGATAACTTCGTGTTCGGTGAGTGGGGGATGGCTTTTGTTGTTGTTGTTTTATTATTATTATTATTATTATTATTATCATTATTATTTATTTTTTGCTGTTTTGGTCCTCTTTTATTTCCCATTTTGTTCATTGTTCTCTCTGTTTCTTTCTTTCCTTCTCTCTCTCTCTCTCTCTCTCTCTCTCTCTCTCTCTCTCTCTCTCTCTCTCTCTCTCTCTCTCTCTCTCTCTCTCTCTCTTTCTCTTTTTCTTTCACTCTCTCTAGCACCCACATCATCTGTTTTATATCCCGATTGCTATGCTATTAGACGTATAATTACTACATATGATTGCAATGTATCATTAAATTCTGTAGTCATGCAATTGAAAATCCCCCCACTCCCAAGGCACAGAGCCAAACCCAAACATGAGACAACCAGACTGCCCTCCCTCAAAAATATAGACAGATAAGGATAAGACGAAATGACGATGTAACAGCAATAGACCATAGATAAAAGATAATAACGCCTGCCTCCCTCCCCAGGTCAGAGCGGCGCAGGAAACAACTGGGCGAAGGGGCACTACACAGAAGGCGCTGAATTGGTCGACTCCGTCCTCGACGTCGTCAGGAAAGAGGCCGAGAACTGCGACTGTCTCCAGGGCTTCCAGCTGGCACACTCCCTCGGCGGTGGCACTGGCTCGGGCATGGGCACTCTCCTCATCTCCAAGATCCGAGAGGAATACCCCGACAGGATCATGAACACTTTCTCCGTCGTGCCATCCCCTAAGGTGGGTTGCAGGCTTCCCTTCGTTGGGGGGTTTGCTCTGGGGGTTTTGGGTGGGTGGGTGCGGGCGTAAGTGAGCGTTTGTGATTGTGTTGGTGTGTGTGTGTGTGTGTGTGTGTGTGTGTGTGTGTGTGTGTGTGTGTGTG